GTATCTCCATAACTACTGAAGGGAATGGATTGGAACTTCACACACTTGTTCTCTGTGATTATCTAACATGATTGGCACCAGTTCAATAAGTCTGATTTGCTTTTTTGCATAATTATGCCCCTTTTTCTACTTAGAAATTCTTGGTTAAGCAAATATCTCCATAACTACTGAAGGGTTCGTGCCTTTTTTTGAACAATTTTATGCATTTTATAACAATAAAGCAGTGTTTAACTCGATAAAACATCTTAATAACAAGCCTTTGTACCTCGGACAATTTTATGTATTCATATAGGTAAGCATTATTATACTCAATGAAACACACTTGTGACAACTTTTCGAATAGTCGAGCGTTACTGTCCTCCGACAGATCTTGTTACACTTTGAACTTTGTCCGGGACATAACTCTAAAACTAAAAGAGATATCAACATGAAACTTTGTAGGTATATAAATCTCATTAGGTGGAGTTGCAGTGCAAAAGAACTGTTACTCTATCTTGCCTAATTTTGGAGTTATTGCCCTTTGGTAATTGTTTTTACTTTGAACTTTATGACATAGCTCTGAAACCATAAGAGGTTTGTAGGTAGATTGATATCATGAAATAGAAGTGCAGCGAAAAAGAACCTTAACTCTGCCTTGCTTAATGTTGGAGTTATTGCCCTTGTCCATTTTTACACTTTGAACTTTGTCAGGGACACAAGGCTGACACTTCAAGAGATATATTTTTCTGTGTCCAAAACCTACTCGGGGAGCATCAACTTGTTCTTGTCAAGAGTCTTGGGGCATAACTTTGATATTGTATACAAAAAATGGGACTTATTCTGCGTTGAAAGTAGGAATGATATCGGCTTTGAACACCTTAAATAGATTGCTCTACAATTCTCGATCTTGCAACAACTTTCGCTTTCAGTTCTTTCAGCACTTTGATTATATAAAGTTACCAGTACAAAAATTCCATTTTATTTTCTCCAAAAGCAACTTTCTTAAATAACCAAACTTGGTCATTATTATAATACACGTTTAATATAAATAATCTAACTAACAACACGCCTTTGTTCTTATTATAATCCCTTTGTTATAAAACGTGTTTATATAATTCACACTACTTGATTACGTATCTACATACATACTATAAAACCAAACCAACAGTAGATTGCGTAATGCCATTCAAACTATAATCCAAAATAATCTAGCGCATGCGCAGTGATTGCCGCCAAAGTGACCCATATGCTGCTCTTTTTTCTCTTTAAAGAACTTTTTTTTGGAAAAGATCTTTAAATGTGATCTCGGGAAACATTTTTAGGAACAGGCGGTCTGATAGACACTCTGAAGTGTAAAGCTCCAAGAAAATTTCGGACATGTGACAGGCAAAAAATGGCCTCAGGTCGATCTTAGGGTAACTAGTAACCGAGGCTGTAAAGCCTTTTACTCTATCTCAATTCATTCAGAAGTTGCAGCACTTTGAAATCAGTTTTGATGGAAAAAATGCAATGCAAAATAGTGATTATTGCCAATTTTGAGACGTCCCCCCGTTTCCATGGTAACAGAAAATTTACGATTGAGCATGCTGTTACAGAGGCTATGGTGTAGTCAACATTTGTGTCAAGTTGTATCAGTATTGAAGCATTTTCCATAGTTTCATAGCAGTTTGAACTTGTAACAGGAGGCTTTTCAATGAAAACGGCCATTTTTCACAATATGCTCATGGGGTAAAAAGTTTAAGAAGATATCTATAGTCACAAAAAAGAGGTGAAAAAATAACATTTTTTTAAAAAAATATCATTTATACTCGTAGTAACTAAGAAGAAAATTTTAAAAAATCAAATAAATTTCAAGCTCAAAATGAAAATAATCATATAGAAATAAAAAAGTAAAAGAATGAATAACAAAAATTCAAGGAGGAGATAATTCTGGAAATATAGACGCTAGATTTATAACCCTTGTCATATTAATATGATGTGGGAGTTTGAAGTAAATGCTATAAAAAATGAAAAAGTTTAAGTAGATAAATAATAACTTCTAAACAATCTAAAAATCTAAGTTCAAGGTGGACATAATTCTGGAAATAATCAGAGTACTGAACCTTCTCACAAATAATTTGAGTGATAATAAGAAACATAAATATGAAGTTTAAAGTAGAAACATTTAAAAAAAAGAAGTTATAAAAAACATTATTTTGTCATGAAAATTCTAAGGTCAAGGGGAATAATTCTGATAATTTTTGTGTTAAAGTTGTAAACCTTGTCACATATGATGTGGTTGATGATCAGAAACATATATTTGAAGTTTGAAGTAAATACCTTAAGAAATGAAGAACTTATAGTAAAAAAGATTATCTCCGGCGCGTTGCGAGTAGGACAGCTCTCAATATTCTCTCTATAGTCAAGATCAAAATGATGTGTATAATCTCCATTTAAAACTTCACGCTTTGTAATATTGCTATTGCTACTGCCAACTTTACGTTTTATGATTTTGCTACTGCTGTGCTACTGCTGCGCTACTGCTACTGCCGATTTCATGTTTTATAATTTTGCTTCTGCTGTGCTACTGCCAACTTTACGTTTTACAATTTTGCTACTGCTACGGCTGTGCTACTGCTACAGATACTGTTGTGCTATTGCCAAATTAATGTTTTATAATTTTTAACCAGGTTTTCCGAAGGAAAAAACTGGTTATTAGATTGAGGTATGTCGGCGGGCGGATGGGCCGGCGGGCGGGCGGGCGGTCGTAAACAATTTCTTCTGTGCGCAACTCCTCCTACATTTCTCAACAGATTTTGACCAAACTTTCACAGAACCTTTGTCATCAAGTGCTCTGGTGCATATTGTTGGGGTTTTGTGATTGGATGATATTTGACCTAATTATGGCCCTTTGTTTTTTTCCTTATACAGAATATATAGTGAACAATTTCTTCTGTACGCAACTTCTCCTACATTTCTCAACGGATTTTGTTTAAACTTTCACAGAAGCTTTGTCATCAAGTGCCCTGGCGCATATTGTTGGGGTTTTGTGATTGGATAATGTTTGACCTAATTATGGCCCTTTGTTTTTTTCCTTATATAGAATATATAGTGGGGTTAGAACTAGTTATAAGATTGATGTATGTCGGCGGGCAGACGGGCAGGCGGGCGTAAACAATTTCTTCTGTGAGCAACTCCTCCTACATTTCTCAACGGATTTTGTTCAAACTTTTACAGAAGCTTTGTCATCAAGTGCTCTGGCGCATATTGTTGGGGTTTTGTGATTGGATAGTTTTTGACCTAATTATGGCCCTTTGTTTTATTTCCTTATACAGAATATATAGTGAATTCTTCTTCTGTATGCAATTCCTCCTACATTATTCATGATTTACATTGCACATACATGTAGTTACAATTTGTTGCTTGTATTTGTATTTCAACTACAACATATTTATCTACAATGGTGATAATTGAAAACCTGGTTTCATGGCATTGCCACGTTTCTTGTTTTACTGGTACTGCTGTGCAACTGATACTGCTAACATTACGTTTAATATTTTGCTACTGATGTGCCACTGCTACTGCCAATTTCACGTTTTATAATTTTGCAACTGCTACTGCTACTGCCAATGTCACGTTTTATAGTTTTGCTACTGCTACTGCTGTGCTACTGCTACTACCAATATCATGTTTTATAGTTTTGCTACTGCTTTGCTACTGCTACTGCAAATTTCACGTTTTATAATTTTGCTTCTGCTACTGTTGTGCTACTGCTACTGCCAATTTCACGTTTTATAATTTTACTACTGCTACCGCTGTGCTACTGCTATTGCCATTCTACCTTTTATAATTTTGCTACTGCTTTGCTACTTCTACTGCAAATTTCACGTTTTATAATTTTGCTTCTGATACTGTTGTGCTACTGCTACTGCCAATTTCACGTTTTATAATTTTACTACTGCTACTGCTGTGTTACTGCTACTGCCAACTTCACGTTTTTATTTGTTTGGGTCGTCAGACCAAACAAATAATGGTAGCGAAATTTCAGAGTCTTATGCTGTTAATTGCAATTGCCTAAAGTAGTCCACTTTTTTGAAGCGGTTACTTCCCTTTATATGTACTCTAACGCCGCAAAATTCAGGGGAGATCAATGCGTAAAGATTGTCAAATGACAGGCGCATTAATTTTCAAGCAAAGTAGTTCCCGAATGGTCGAAGATTTCTAATATTGTTTCATTCTTTATAGATATACATCTTACAGAAAGCTCGATGATTAATGATTATTTACATCTGTGTTAAACAACAGGTTTAGCGTCGAAATAATAAGAGTTACAAACCCTAATTTAGAATAATATGGTTTTCTCCATACCATCGATATATAACTTCACCGTGGCCGAGGGGTTTGCACGCTCGCTTATGAATCGAGAGGTCTGGAGTTCAAATCCCAGTTGAGTCAACTCATTTTTTTAAATTTTTAAGTCAAATAAAAATTGAATTGACTATCAGTGTTGCAATTAGTCTTATAGCCAATTTACTACAGTTAAAACACTGGAAAGCATTGGTGGCACTTTACAAAAACAAATTGGTTTATAATCTCACAACCTTCACCTTTCTGACATTCTGAGACCCAAACAAATTCAGCGCCTTCTGTGCTTTGATTATAAATTTGCTACTGCTCATTGCCACTGCTAATTTCTACCGATGTGATATTTCAAAGATGTCCAGACAACCTTCACTGTAATACTAATATGAGCAAAATTATCCGAATATGATTAAAGTCTTTCCGACGGTTCCATTTTCCCTCAGAATACTGCTTATGGCAGTGCTAGTTGGCACGATATCCATTATCTGTAATGAATAGCTCGACAAAACCGCGTCTGTGAATTTTAGCACCATGTAGATTGTCGTTGTTTTTTCTCCGAGATATTTGCATTTCCAAATATTAAAACTTTAAAACCCTTTTCATTTTCAGAATACAACCTTGATCATTGTTACACCAATCGATCGTATAATTTACAGATTACAATGTTTATATTGTTTCAGGTTCAGGGATCTTTATTTCACCAAAAGGGGTACTGACGGAGACCGGTTCAGTCGGGTTGAGTCTTATAGTATGGGTCTCCAGTGGTGTCCTGTCATTATTAGGTATTTCATTATCAATTTCTTAAATTAAAATATCATCCTCAATTCGAACATTCTCTTCTGCAATGAGGAAAGTCGAAAAAAGTCACTGAACTTAAAAATAAGTGTTCATATAAACTTGAATTTGCGTGATTTAGATCTAACATTAATTTTAATTGGCAACTTCTACTTTATTTTTATACCTACTTAAAAAATTATATTCTCTAGAATATGTCAATACAAAACAGTCTTTACAATATTTTAATTCAGGTGCATTGTCGTACGCCGAGCTCGGTACAATGATACCAAAATCAGGCGGGGAGTATCCGTACTTTATGGAAGCCACATTCCCTATTGTTGCCTACCTTTTTAGCTGGACACGAACTATTGTGTTACAGGTAAGGTGTTCATATTTAAACAAGCCAGCTAAAAATAACTATATTAGTGTAACATTTCAGGGAAGTGACCAAAAATTGTGTGGAATTTTAGATAATGTACGTAATGCTATGTAGTGAATTTCGACAAAATTTATAATTTGACAAAATTGATATCAGATTAAACAGGGTTACCATTTGTCAGGACGGCGGAAATTCTCGGGAATTGTCGGGAAGTAAAATTATTTTTATGAACACCCATACACTGGTAGGCCTTCAAGTTTTTGTGATAAAATGAACAGAGAAAGGACTTCGGTCATCATGTCGGACCTGATGTTGAATTGACTCCAAATTCTGTAGAACGGTATTATTCATCCAGATGTAATAGAAGTAGGTGTACACTTTGCAGCTCCATTATTAAAAGTTCTATTTTTAGTAGTACTAATATTCCTGGTAAGAACTATCATATTAATAGTAACATTAATTGTTCTACGAAAAATATTATAAATGACATATCGTGTCAAATGTGATAAATGTAAAGAACAGTATGTTGGTCAAACGAAGCAACAAGTGTCTAAACGCATGAATATATCTATAGGTTTGATATAAATATTTTTTCCGCTCCATTATTTGCTTCTAAAAGTTTACAAAACGTGAAATATGCAGTCAAAGTGTCCTTTCAAAAAATCCTTCCAAATTTTTTTTTTTTATTTCATTAAATAAATACCCGATGTGCAGTTAATCAATTTCTTTATATTAAAGAAATTAAGCATGCGAATCATTCCAAGACCATATTCATCAGTGTTTTGCCTCAAGACTTCTTTTAAAAAAAAATTACATTGACCTAACCAGACAAATTCTCTTAAAGTTTCATTTAAGTTTTCAACATACCAGAACGGATGGTTTAAGGTGAGCTATACGTATTAAAGGGGGTTGCTCTGGTGTCCATCGTCAACATTCATCTTTTTCTCTGAAACTGCTGGGCAAAATTGACTTCAAATTTGGTTTGTAGCATACTTGTGACAGTCACACTTTAATTTGCTCATAATATATCAATTAGCCCGTTTTAGGGGTCTTAAAAGCTAAAAATAGAAAACACTATAAAACATCTTTTTCTAATGAATGATCACCAAACTTTTTTCTGTAGCATTCTTAGATGGCCTGTTATCAAATTTGTTCAAAATAATTTTATTGGCCCCTTTTAAGGGCCTGAACAGCTAAAAATAGAAAAAAAAACGTTTAAACATCTTCTTCTACTAAACCAATTGATGGATGATCACCAAATTTTATCTGCAGCATCCTTAATAAGTATTTCATCATATTTGCTCATATCAATTTGATTGGCCCATTTTAGGGGCCCCTAAAGCTAACAAGTGCCAGTTTTAAGCGGGTTATGCTCCCAAAATAGGTTTTGGGACTCTTGAAGTTTCAGGGTTATGTCCTGGACAAAGTTCTTAGTGCAATAATTCCAAAATTAGGCTAGGCAAAGTTACTTTTCTTTGCACTGCACTGCAACTCAAAGAGATCTTTCTACCGACTTAGTGTCTTGTTGATACCTCTAGTAGTTTTACAGTAATACCCGGGACAAAGTTCACAGTATAAAATTGAAAAAGGGCAATCACTACAAAGGCGAGGCATAGTTACGGGTCTTTTGCACTGCACTTTTATTCAATGAGATCTATATACCTACAAAGTTTTATGTTTATATCTTATAGTTTCAGTGTTATGTCCAGGGCAAATTTCAAAGTGAAAAAGTAAACAAAGGGCAATAACTTAAAAAATTGGGCAAGACAGAGTTGCGGTTTTTTTGCACTGCACATCTAACTAATATAATGTATCTACCTACAAAGTTTCTTGTTTATATCTCTTACAGTGTCAGAGTTATGTCCTGGACAAAGTTCAACGTGTAAAAATGAACAAAGGGCAATAACTCCAAAATAAGGCAAGGCATAGTTATGGTTCTTTTGCACTGCACATCTACCCAATGAGATCTATCTACCTACAAACTTTCTTGTTGACTTCTTATACAGTTATTTAGCAGTATGCTGGACAATTTTCAGTGAAAAAATAAACAAAGGGCTATAACTCAAAAATTAAGGATGGCAGAGGGGATGGCATCCAAAATGCATTTACCCAAAGGCAATTACTGATCAGGTTATCATGTGCAATTCGTAGGGATAAACTTTTTTTTATAAACTATATATTCTTCTTAAATTTTAGTAATTTAACTGTTTTCGAATTTCGGCACTGTATACGTTTACAAAAAATTCAAAATATTGAGGAAAATCGAAAACTGTGGAATAGACTTGATATGAATTTATTGCTGTAACAGTCACGCATCTTTACCATGATGAATGTTACAAGTTTCCAACCTTCATGGACACAAAAAATAAAATTGTTTGAAAATGAGATACAATGAGTTGAATTTCACCACAATTTATTACATCCCTATCATACTTTATTTAATTTGTGGTTCAATATGGCACCAAATCAATTAAATCACATACATTTAATAAAAAGCACATTCATTCTTTTTAAATACTTCTATATCAGACTTTAAATGACACCAAGAAAAATATTTGATTGCAAATTGTTGTTATCAAAGTATCTACCGTCATCTTGAACTCCACTCCAAATATTTTAAGATTGCAGATCGGAAATACATCAATCAGAACTAGCGCATCGGGTTATATTTATCTCATTCAGGCTAAATTCTACCATTTATCCCGTCGTCAGCAACTTGTATAACTTATTGTATACATTCAAAATGATTTGTTTGCATCAATTGTATGTTGTTCTTTAAAATACTCACTTATATTACAGCATATTTTAGTAGCAAAAGTAACATTTTCAAGTAATTTCTACATGCTGCAAATTCTGGCTTATATCCCAAGTCGGGAATAACAGAAATTTCCATCATGGGATATTCCAGCTAACAAGAGAATAACAGAGGCTAACATTTTATGATAAACTTTCTTTTGCGATTTACTATCTGAATATGGACGTACATATGTTATTAATTCAAATTGTGTACGCACACAAACACAAAAAATATATTCTATTCTTTAGAAGTCTTTGTGTGCTTATAAAAGATTGAAATATCATCTTCTTAAGTTAGCATGATCATCTGATACTACTATATTTTTCAATAGGTAGCCGACAATCGTAGTTATGTAGATCTGATATACGATATCACTCGTAAATTGTATAACAACAGAGTACACCAGCCTTTGTGATTTTATCAGTGTATTTGTGAAGAAATATTTACTTACATGCACTTGTAAAAAGACATGGCATAATGGCGTAAGTTCAAAAGTTTTAATCTTATATTTAAAGGAGAGACAATGGTAAACAAAATGATTCATACATAAAACTTTTTCTATTTACAGCCGTCGGGTGTCGCTATAATTTGCATGACATGTGCGTCCTACATAACAACTTTCTTTGAATATTGTGGTAGCCCGGCCCCACCTCTAAAGATTATAGCAGTCATTGTAATATGTAAGTTATTTTTTTATCTAAATTAAATGAAATAGAGAGGTAAGAGTATTTTCGCTCTGCAGGGCACTGGACGAAAACAATAAAAAATACGACAGTCAACATTTTTGTCGTACTTTCGCTCCGCGGGGCTCAAGGCGAAAACACAGTTAAACGAAAAGTTACCACATATTTTCGCCTGGCGCCCCGCGGAGCAAAATTACGAAAATACGAAACTACGAAGATAAGGGTAGATGACTGTCTGGGGATAATGCACGCATTATTATCTTCCAATGTTGAAGAATTTGGTTGCTATGGCAACAAATACACTTACATATTTCAAATATATAGCGAACATATTTTTTTTAAACTTAAAAAAATGGATAGATGGCAGTAAGGAGATTACGCACATCGTTTTAAGCTCGACTTGAGAGTTGTTCTACTCACCCAGTAGTGTCGGCGATCGCGTCCAGATTTCTGATTAAAGACTTTACACAGTAAAATATGTTATTATGTTATTGTATGCACTTAGCAATTATTCCAACCTCCCTATAGACCTTTTTACGACGCGGTCTGTTGCTATGAAAAATTGACCGGAAGTAGCATTTTCTTGCGCATGGGCAATTTGCGTAGGGCAAATAGAGCATCGCCCTACATAGAAATGTAGTAGAAGTTCATAGACAATTCCGAGATAGTTGAAGGTAAAAATAAGAAAATCACATTAAATAGCTTTTTACAGAAACACAAAAGATGCCACTATAGCTTTGTGGCTAAGATTGACAAAAAAGGCATGGAAAAGACGATTGTTAAAGAATTCCCCCCTTACGAACACGGACCTGACATTGAGATAAATGTTGGAAAAAAATGTGGGAAAATACAGAAGTCAATATAACGTTTCCGGAGTAGCTCTCTGCAACAACTGGCTGGAATTCAACGAAACTTTATGGAAATCATCAATATCAAGAGGAGATGCGCATGTTGTCGGCTTGTTCCGGTCAGACCCTTTAACTCAGAGTTATGGCCCTTGATTAGTTATGAAGTATGCATATAGAGAAAAAATCGTTTCCGCACTACTTCTCTGCAACTACTGACTGGAATTCAACGAAACTTTATGGGAACCTTCAATACCAGAGGAGATGCGCATATCGTCGGCTTGTTTCGGTCAGACACTTTAACTCAGAGTTATGGCCCTTGATTAGTTATGCAGTATGCATATGAAGTAAAAACCGTTTCCGCGCTACTTCTCTGCAACTACTGGCTGGAATTCAACGAAACTTTATGGGAACCTTCAATACCAAGAGGAGATGCGCATATCGTCGGCTTGTTCCGGTCATAGACTTTAACTCAGAGTTATGGCCCTTGGTTAGTTATGCAGTATGCATATGGAGTAAAATTGTTTCCGCGCTACTTCTCTGCAACTACTGGCTGGAATTCAACGAAACCTAATGGGAATCTTCAATACCAAGACGAGATGCGCATATCGTTGCCTTATTTCGTTCAGGCACTTTAACTCAGAGTTATGGCCCTTGATTAGTTATGCAGTATGCATATGAAGTAAAAATCGTTTCCGCGCTACTTCTCTGCAACTACTGGCTGGAATTCAACGAAACTTTGTGGGAACCTTCAATACCAAGAGGAGATGCGCATATCGTCGGCTTGTTCCGGTCAGAGACTTTAACTCAGAGTTATGGCCCTTGGTTAGTTATGCAGTATGCATATGGAGTAAATTTGTTTCCGCGCTACTTCTCTGCAACTACTGGCTGGAATTCAACGAAACCTAATGGGAATCTTCAATACCAAGACGAGATGCGCATATCGTTGCCTTATTTCGTTCAGGCACTTTAACTCAGAGTTATGGCCCTTGATTAGTTATGCAGTATGCATATAGAGAAAAAAATGTTTCCGCGCTACTTCTCTGCAACTAATGGCTGGAATTCAATGAAACTTTATGAGAACCTTCCATACCAAGAGGAGATGCGCATATCGTCGCCTTGTTGCGGTCAGACACCTAAACTCAGAGTTATGGCCCTTGATTAGTTATGCAGTATGCATATAGAGCAAAAAATCGTTACCGCGCTACTTCTCTGCAACTACTGGCTGGAGTTCAATGAAACTTTATGGGAACCTTTTCAATAATTGAATAGTTGAATAATTTCAACTTAGTGAAAAATTCTTTTTGTTTTTGACAAGTTGAATTTTAAAAGATCTAACAATGATCTAACAATGTGTGTACAAATTTAGTTTGAAAATAGGCAAGAAAATGTCCTTATTAATAAAAACACATTTAAAATGTTGTGGATGGTCACAGGTATTGGAAATAAGCCATGTCAAAAATTAGGAACTTTTCAAGAGGATGAAATATTTTACTAAGAAGTTTTTTTATGGCCAACTGTTCTATTTTATAATTATTTTGTTGATAAAAAAATAATTTTTAAAATCATTGATTTGGAAATGTGCAACTTGTCTTTGTCAGCTGCCCACAGAGTTTCAGTAATAAATACAAAAATTGGTTAAATCGTTTTGAATATTAATATATGTTTACCTTATTTCCTCCATAGCGGAAATGGAAATTTTAAAACGAAGGGACGTAATTTGGTAAACGAAATCCAAACCGCAATACGGACTTTACCGAGAATATAACTGTAAAGCCACCTGTTAGCATAATTTGGGTGTCACATATTATTACACCAGATGTCGCGTCGTATTATGCTTGCTATATTCGGTTTTCGGCTATGCGTCATTCTACCTTATGACATTCGTCATTCAAGCTGAGTAAATAGACCCACAGGTTAAGTTATTGAATTAAACCAGATCAACAAATGAATAATAATTGATCGTTAAATAACGATATCAACATACAATTAAGCAAGACGCACACAGCAGAAAGCATAATGTGCATGTAAGAAAGCAACATGTAAAAGTCAGAATGCAAGATGTACAAGTCAGAATGCAAGATGTACAAGTCAGAATGCAAGATGTACAAGTTGAAAGCACGATGTAACGTAAGAAAGCAAGATGTAATTTTGGCATAAATACCCTTCCAGAGAAAACAGTACTGCTGTACATGAATTCGAAAGCTATAAATAGCTAGATGACCTTTACATTGTGAAAGTCCGAAAATCTATTTATAGAAGTAGTTTTAGTCTGAACGAAATAGTCATTCGTGTCGCGATATGGTAATAAATATCGTTCTTATCGAAAAAATATGAGTAGGCCATTTTTATAGAATTATTGTGTTATCATTTTGAAATTGTCTTTTCCGTAGGTTCTTTCCGGTATATAGCTCCTTTCTTTTTTACCGCTCTGATTGCTGATTGCACTTCAGACATTTTTACCGTGAATATTTAAATTCACCCCGATTTCTCGAAATTTTTCTGTAAGATGTTGATTTTATTTTGTTTGAAGACATTCGGTTTTGTGCCGAATACTGTGACATTTTAACAACAGAAACTTTGGTCTGCAGTTTGAATATGAGGTGAAATGTGTTTTTTATGAATGTAAACAAATAGTTTATTGATCTCCCAATAAATCAATTAACAATAGCTTTTTATATATCACCAATGTCAAGTAGCTTTTATATCTTTGACTCGCAAGAACATGATGTTAGTGAATTTCCTCATACCTGCCTAAAATTCAGGTAACAGTCTTCTCTTCTATAATATTGATAAATACTGTATCACCATGTTACGCGTGTACAACAAACAAAAATTCCTGAATTTGGTCTTTTTGGAATTCATCCAATTTTTTCATTCCAGTATGTGTTCTACTTGAAAGAAACCATTTTTTTAATTTGACATGAAAAACTGCATGTAAAAGTCCCTTTTGTTACTATTTGTATATTTGTTACAATAATAATAAAAAAAACAGAATTTGATATTTTAATCATCTTATGTTACTGACTACAGAAGTGACACAAACAGAACACAGTACAGTCATGTCACATAACATTTACAAGTCTTGTTGGTCTTGTTACTTTCCTTACCAGGTAAGCATCAGTGAAAGCATTTTTTAAATTAAATATCTGGCCCCCTCTACAGTGCATAAGATAAGTATAATTATGAAAAAAAATGTTTACAAAACATTCGGGAAAAATGTACAATTAGTACTTAATCTGAATATGATCTGTGCGTAGGAAAAATTTGGTAAGGTATCATTAATGAGCGCATTTTTTTGCGCGGAGCTTCTAAATTGCTGCAGCATTTGTACTTGTACATGTATTATCAGTGCTACTAATTTTGTTGGCGTGCGCGCCGAAGCGCGGCGCCCCTTATGGAATGAAATCAGATTTTGTGAAAGGGCAATTGCAACTTCTCGGGCGTTTTCCTCCGTCATAATAGACGATCATTCCGATTGGTATGAGGAAAAAAGAAATGTGGCGATATGTATAATAACGAACTGGAGAACTTCGCAATGCAGACATATTCAAATGAAATGATCTTATCCGTCAATAAATCGTGCTCTCCCGATTTTTTTTTATTAATCATGTTGGTTATTATGTATGTTACTGCTGTACCTATACTCCTTGACAAAATATTTCGACAAATTCAAACGTGGCTCCCCAGGTTTTCCGTGTGCAAAATGCGCTGCGCTTTGAAGATGGGAACCAGTCGTCTATGGGCGGAGCCATTCGGTAATTTGTTGGTTCCCATAATTCAAAGCGAGGCGTATTTGTACATGGCAAAGCTGTTGATGTTTATTTAGGCTGTTGCGTTGTTTATATTACCGTTGAAGTTTAATGATCAGTACATGTGCTGGGATTGACAAATATACATTTCTTTTTTCATTTTTAAGGCGTTGTAAGCTCCACACTCTAAGTGCCTGTGATTTTACAAACGTTGAGATACGCAATAAGCTAAATATTTATCATTAGAATAGCCTGTCGTCTGCTAGTTCGGAAACAGTACTGTCAATCCGTGTATTCACGTTTTAAGTATTTATCGCTTTAATTCATCCAACAATTTCTTTTTTCTATGTGACATAGCTTGAAATCACACCTTTTAAAGCTTTTTAGTACGCCAAAATAT